ATTCAAAWAAAAAMAAAAAATGTTCCTTTTATTAAATACGGTATTCGTTTTATTTGAATTTATCAATTTTGTAATACCAATTCAAATATTATTTTTTTATTATTAATCCTTTCGCATAAACAATAAAGGTCAGTAGCGTATAATGTATTTACTTTAGTAAGTATTATTAATTATTTAAAATAACATTTTATGTTTCTTAAAGGAGTACACAACTGAAAAAAATTTTATTTTTTTATTTTTGTGAACTATAACTAAATAATAAAATAATATAGGCACCACTAAAAATTGTAAGCGTCCAATATTTAGCCAGTTATGGGTATTTGAAAAATGCGYGTGACGTAATAATTTCGCCGCTGCCGTTTACTCTGTACAAGCTTTTAAGGGAATATTACAAGTCTCGCTGTTTAAACGCGTATAACTCGGCTAATAATAAATTTATTGATTTAGACCCTTATAATAATTTGAAGCTTAAGAACTAAATTTTTAATTTAATATTAATTTATTGTAAAATTATTAAACGGTTTATTTATAAACGAATGATAAACTTTCTTAGCAATATTTTCGCCTTTTCGGCATACGTTTTTGACGAAGTAAATCCGATTGATTTAAATCATTTTTGTTTAAATGTTTTGAAMATATTACAGCTGATTTTCCTGGAACGAAATTTTTTCTTTTACAGAAATCACTCCATTTTTTAAATCGTTCAGGAGATTTTTCTCTTTTAGGAAATGTAAAATAATGTATTTTTTCTGGGCCTGTTTTAATACCTTCTTCACTATGATTAGAACAACCATAAACGGAACACAACATTTTAATAGGTGCAATCTTTTATTTTATTGTATAAATATAAACTATACCGCGCATACGAAAACTAAACATATGATTACACGAAATAGACGACTAAACAGTATTATTTATATTAATTATTACAGTTTTTATTTTAATACACCACTGGGCAAACATTGTTATTTATATTACGATAAACACAACATTATACTAAATTAAACAATACTGTAAATATTATCTACAAACATGTATAAATATAGTTACATTTACACAATAATAGTACGATGTACAACAGTCCTAAAATAGTCTACAGTCGTATAAATAAATGTTTGTTTAATGTTTAATTGAATCATATAATGAACTTATTATTGTAAAAACATGCAATAAAAGAAAAATTTGTGAACTTTGAATTATTATAAAGGTCTACATCAATAAATTGAGTATTAGCAGACTTATAGCAGACTATTAGAGATTAAACAGCAAAAGTCGTATTACTCCCGTAAAATCGTATACAGAGTAATTGGCGGCGGCGAAATTATGACGTCATGCGTATTTTTTCAAATGACTGCCGCAGGCTAAATAATAGTTGTAAATATATTTTAATGGTATCTCTGTTTTTATTTCACTTAATACTATATTTTAAAATAGACTTCTTTTTTTTTKAGTGTTATGGTCCTTTAAATGTTTTACTACTAAATTGGTTTGTATAATTCTGAGATTTATTTTTAAATGTCGTTAATTTTTTGGTTGCTTTTGTTTGGGGTCTTGGGATTTTGTTAAGGTGTTCTGGTAAATTATTTTATTTTATTTATTTTCGTATCTGAAGTAGTCTGATTATAATTGGTAATTTATTGACCATTGACTATGCTCGGAATCCAACGTTAGAAGTAAACCGATTACTTTCCTATTATCGTTAAATAAAATATGCAGGTGTTGCTTTTAGACATAATTAGTTAATATTACCATTTAATCTTCAACTGAATGGTTGAACTGAAAGAAAAAATATCACTATAATGATTATAGGTTTGAGTACTTAATATTCTTTTTTTTGGTTTGATATCGGTTTCAAGGTGTAAGTAAAATTCGATTCTCAATAACCAGGGCGAACGCAGGAAAAAATTTCTCGG